ATTTCTCTGCTAAAAAGGGAAATCCACATTTTCTCTGATTTTAAAAACAGGAACTCTGTGGTTTTCTCCTTTTTTCCATGGGAAATGGAATACCCAGATCCCTGATCATCACATATAACATAACACATTTCCCTCCAGGTAAAAATAAAATAAAAATGCTCGAGAAAGATAAAAAGCTTGCAATAAATAATACAGTTGATTCATAACAAAAATTATATCAAATATAAGATTAACTATGGTTTCCATATATTTTTGGATACCAATACCTTTGGATGATTTTATAATACCTACATTTCTTATGAATTTAGATGCTATTTTTTTCTGTAAACTTTATCTCTGTCGCCTAAAAAAGCTTCTAAATGATTTTAAATACAATCATCTGGTGTAAATAAAACAAATATCCAGCACACATTCCATTACCCTACCTATTCTTCCTCTATATATGCAATTTGCTGAATAACAAAACTATTTCCATGGGTAGAAGCTAGTAACTTGTGTACTACTTATTTCCATATCAAGAAATGTGCAAGTTCCAGTTGTTACCCTGTGAGGTTATTTTACATTTTAGGAAGGTTTTTTAGCATGCTGTTAAGCCCTCAAAATGTAACTGGTGTGCAGTTTTTAAACTCCCCCCCACAACCAACCAACCAACCAAATCATACATTGGCAGTGTTTCTTATACTTAACAGATGCCACAGCATATATTAAAAAGCCTTTTTTAAAAGACAGAACTTGTGCATATTTCCATCCTTGAATCAAACTTTTGGTATATGATAATGAATAGCTATTTAGAACTTTCATTAGCCAAGATTTCTGCCTCAAGGAGTACATCAGGAAAAAATCACAAGGCATCAATATCACGCTATTATTTATGTTTCAAGGGTGTTGGTTGTAGCCATGTTGGTCTACGGACATAGGCAGACAAGGCTCTTTGGGTAAATGTGATATCTTTTATTAGACCAATTAAATAGCTGGAAAATTATTTTTTGCAAGCTTTCAGGCACAACACTCTTCTTCAAGGATTGGGAGAGTCTGCTCTTGTTTTGTGTTCTCTTGGATGGGATAGAAGCCAAAATGCATGTCTCTGAAAAGGCGAATGCATGGCAGTGAGGATCAGAGGTGACAGGGGACAATAGATATCAGACAGGTAGATGGGGGCCAGGAAGGGGGGAATGTTGACCTGATGATAGAACGTAGCTGGTAAAATGTCAAGAGGTTACCTGGGGTTATCAGTTGGATGGCAAGTAGGTTATAATGAGCCATAAATCCAATGTCTATATTTAGTCCATGATTTTTTGGACCTAGTAGATTTATAAAGTGAAGTTTGTAGGCTCATCTACAAAAGGTGTTTTGTAAATCCCCTTCGAGGATTAGAACTGAGAGATTAGAGAGGGAGTGGTTGTCTTGTGAGAAGTGTGCATCCACAGGTAATTGGGTATTTTGTCTTTGATAGATTTTTGGTGTGCATTCATTCTGGTCCACAGTTGTTGTTTGGTTTCTCCTACATATTTTCCATCAGGGCATTTAGTGTACTGGATGAGATGTATTACATGTCTGGAGGTGCAGGTGTAAGATCCAGGAATGGTGATGGTTCTGTTGGGGGGTGTAGTTATTCCCACTCCCACTCTGGCTTCTATTCCATCTGGGAAAACACAAAATACCAGCAGACTCTCCCTATGCCTGATGACAGGTGTTTGTGCCTGAAAGCTTGCAAAGAACAATTTTTCCAACTATTTAATTGGTCTAATAAAAGATGGCACATTAACCCAGAGAACCTCGTCACGCTATTATTTAAGTATATTTGTTTGAAACCTGTCATTTAACTCTCTAAACAGGACATGCAATAACTTTCTTGAAGGAGGAAAGATACAGATGGATCCGTAAAGCAGTGGTTTTCAACCTGTTTTCATTTGAGAACCCCTAATAAATTTTGAATGAAAGTACAGACACCTTTGTATTAAACATGTGCATATTCACATATTTATGACTGATAATAGTTTTGTTTCACAGACCCCTTAGACAGTCTGCAGATCCCCACAGGTCTGCTGACCACAAGTTGAAAACCAATGCCCTAAACACTCTATCAGAGAATACTGTTTAGATAAATACCCTTTTTCCCTCTAAAAATTTTCTATAGATCCTAACTTATTTCTTTAACAATAGCGGGTCAAATTCTAAGCTAGGTGTGTCATATTCCCAAACCTTACTTGAGACAAGTTGATCTGCTTTAAACATAACACTAAGGACAGCATTCTCTGTGGAAGTTTGAGTTTTCTAACATTCTTTCTTCTTGGAGATCCACCAGCATCGTGTGTGTGTGTGTGTGTGTGTGTGGGGGTGTGTGTGTGTGTGGGGGGGGGATATATAGATATAGATATATAGATATATGTGTGTATAGATACATATGCAGGACACTGTTTAGCATTTGGCTCATCATTTATTTGGTTTACATGCTTCATATCTAAAATTTTTAAAAAACTTATCAAAGATTTATATATAATAATAATCAGCTTCTATGGGACGGTTAGAAGAGAAGCTTTTGCTATGTGGAGCTGTCCTTAAACTGAATTCCAACCATGAGCAGTTGCTCAACAGTTACATACATCTAGAGAGTCTCTCACATTTCCATACAGCCTTAAAATAAATTTTAATCTTTGTGGAGTTAGTATACTAAATCCACAAGGAAATAAATCAAATGCCTGTTGCTACTAAACAACTAATATCTTGCAATCACAGATTTCCTTTTACCATTGTTCATGATATTTGTTACTGAAACAACACAGATATGACATCATATCCCTAGATATAAAACTGAACTGAAAGGTTATGAAGTATTAGGGTTAGGAATAATGGATTTTGCCAATCTTCTTAACTGTAGAGAATTAGCTTATTTAAAACATTAAAAAACAGAAAAGATGAAATCAGACTGGGGTAAAGGAACACATTTCCAACTCTTATTACCTTGTCAAGATTCTCAGCAGTTGACATCAATGTGAGCCACTCCAGTTTTAAATGTAATTTTCCTTTGGAGACTTCATCCAGAGTGAACCACTACCAACACAATAAATTAAGCAAAATGATACCAAGTAGCATACTATCAAATGATTGAATATAATAAAAATTGGCTATTTTTTAAAAACTGTAAACCAGCTTAAATCGAGAAGAACTGCAATCTGCAGAATCTGAAAGGTTCAATTCATAGATTCAGATGTGCTGAATCTATGAATCTATCACCCGCATGATCAGGGGACAACAGGGCAGACCCTACAGTGAGAGACTGCGGGACCTGAACCTATTCAGCCTCCACAAGAGTAGGCTGAGGGGGGACCTGGTGACTGTCTATAGACTCACTAGGGGGGACCAGAAGGGTTTGGGGGAGACGCTGTTTCCCCTAGCGCCCGCTGGCATAACAAGGAGTAATGGGCACAAGTTGATGGAGAGGAGGTATAGATTGGACATCCGCAAAAACTACTTCACAGTTAGGGCGGCTAGGAGCTGGAACCAACTTCCAAGGGAAGTGGTGCTGGCCCCTACCCTGGGGGTCTTTAAGAAGAGGCTGGATGCCTACCTGGCTGGACTCATTTGAGTCCCGTTTCTCTTTTTGGGGTTTTTTGTTGTTCTCCCGCCCTGGCGGGGGGTCGGGCTAGAAGATCTACTAGGTCCCTTCCGACCCTTAATCTATGAATCTATGTGCTGTGTCCCATAAATCATTAGCAGGTAATACAACTGCTCAGCACTTCAATATCAGATGACCAGCTTCTTAAAAAATAAAACCTTTTAAGAAATCTAGATGATCCTCTAAAGTTTTTAAAAGCAGCTCTGGAGGTACAATATAATGTAGCATTATTTTAAGTCCCTATGTTGGATACAGGGTACAAAATTACACTGTGATTAAAACATTACTTCAGCATAACAGATATCATCTTGATGAGTTCATTAAGTTTAACAGTAATTCATATAGACAAAAGAATAATTTGGGTTTCTATTTTTTAGAAAAGAAATAAGTAAAAAAGTTTCTGACACCTTGCTTGTGTTTACCAGTATAATGAGACAGGGTCAGCATCACAGTAAGGTGTCTGCTCTTTTAAGGGCAGAAACTGCCTAGAGAGAGGGCCCTAGCAGTCAGGCAGGAACCTCACAGCTGCAGGTTATCATGGCAGCAGGAATGAGGGAATTAGCCTGCACCTGCAGGCAGTCAGCTGACCAGAAGAGGCAGGGCCTGGGACACATATAAACCCCAAGGCTAAGAATAGAGGGTAGTTCTTTGTCAGCAGCCAAGGGGTAAGGAGCTCTCTTAGAGGAAGCTAAGTAGGACCAGGGAGACATATAACCAGATGACTGCTCTACTGCCTGTTCTACTTCTGGTAGGATTAAGAGGCTCCAGGACCTCACCAGGGACTCTAGCCTGCAAGGCATTTAGTGCTAGGGGGAAGGTTTAACGCTTTTAAAGGGACAGAGTACACCCCAAACTGCTTACATTATGTTATAGCCCAGGGGCTCATATTTTGATTGCTGTTTGTAAACCGGTGGATTGGGCTGAGGCTATTCGGGAAGGAGGCCTCATTGGGGGCCCACTACAGTGTGGGGACCCTGGCGCCAGTGTGGGCGCCGTGACAGGGGGGTGAGAAGACCCTTGCACCAGTGTGGGCACTGTGGCAAGGCGGTGAGTAGACCCCAGTGCCAGAGAGGGCGTAGTTACTGAGGCCTGATTGAGTCCTTAACACAAGGAGACAGCTTTTACATAACATCTGCAAGGCATGGGGCATGATAAAAGAGGCGGTTTTGGAGTCATGAATCTAGCCCACAAGGCTGGGGGAGTACCATAAGACCCCTCCCAAGTGTGGGGTCCAGTAACTGGCAGGGCTTAGGGGAGACTGTCAGGACTGTGACCGAGCAGCAATTCAAGGGCAGCCTCCCAATCCATCATTCATAACAACAAGACGTGGCAGGAAGGCAGTAGGTGCCCATAGGGCCAAGTCAGCATGGTAACTGTGCCCTAGGGACATCACGGCCATCCCAGGGGTGGCTGTATTGTGACAGTCAGATAAAAGTAGAAGGCCTTCATTCTGTATCTTTCACTGATTCAAATAGCTTCTATTTTTGTAAGTAAACCCATCGAGGTCTTAAAAAAAAAAAAAAAACATTCAACATGACTAAGTACAGTACTGAGGTTAATTCATATATGTAAGGTATGCCATGTTGGCCTACCTGAAAAGGTGAGTAAAAAAATGAGTCCATAGCAAGTCTTAAACAGTAACAGACTTACCTCGTCTAGAAAACGCTCCTTCTCAACTTCAATTAGATCTATCATTAGGCTAAAAACAGAACAGTACTTTAGAGGGGAATAACAAAATCTAGAACAGGACTTAAAAAGAAAACATTTACCCTGATGAGTTCAAGTTTTCCAACAGACTTCCAGACTTTTTAAACTGTAATTTATGTAACATTTTTACACACGTGCCATGCATTTTCTCCAGATTTAGGGCACTGATTATAAGCAGGGAAGCTGATTATTCTTTGCTGGAACAAGCAGAGTTGCTGCTACAAGATGGCCACAAGCTTCTCTTTTAGGCAGAAGCATGAGGGGCAGAGTCCCATGCTAACACTTTCTAGCTGCTCTCCAAGTGAAAACAGTTTTTGGCTGAGCAGCTGGAGAGCTGGTAACACTGGCCTCCATCCCTACTGCTTGCTGAGCTGCTTGTCTAGCTCTACAATGTATCTCTAGATAAATAATTTTCTAGATTCTGCCCTCCAAAAGTAAGACACATTTCTATTTCTGGGGTGAGCAGTATGCAAGAAAATATGGGAGTATATTTTACAAAAAACCTCAAAAATGTGCAAGAAATTTAAACAGTCAAAAAAACATTTTTTTCTTTTTAGAAAGAGATCTTCTGTGGCATTTACCTTCCCAGAAAATCATCTTTGTCTGGGTCTTCATCAAAGAGCTCAATCTCCAACTCCTGTCCTGGGTGTTCATACACTAAAGCCTAGAAGCATAATCCTTATTAGTTTACAAGAACATAAGAACTTGCCCTTTATCGCACAGTAGCAGAGTCGATGCTGGACTGGTTAGGACCAGGATTTTTTCTGCTGTTCCTCTCTCACTTGCAGCCTCCAGCATTTAAGGTCTAGGAAGTTCTGATTCAGAGGCTGTGCCCTTAACTCCCATGATCAATAGCTACTAATGCACCTTTCCTCCAACCATTTGTCCAATCCCTTTTTGAATCTGGCTAAACTCTCTGCTTCCACAACATCTTGTGATGATGAGCTCCACACTTTAAATACATGTTGTGTGAAAAAGAACTCCCTTTTATTAGTTTTAAACTCACTACCTATGAGTTTCATTTTATGACTCCTAGTTCTTAATTATATATAACCTGTACCACTGAGTTTACCTAGTGAATTCTGCAATGTAAACAGAGCAATAATGAAACACTCTGAACCACAGTATTGCCAAGGGTTTGTCAACATAAAATAAAATGCATTCATAAATATTTCACCTGAATTTGAGACCAAGTCAAATTTGTAAGCTGGCTGGACACTAGAAACTAAGGATTGAACACCAATATTGATTTTTATGACACACTATAATTTGCCTGATTCCTGAAATTCTTCCCCCACACTACAGGCTATAATGATCCTCCTCCCCTTTTGGTACTTCTTGATCTCCCACTAATCACTTTTCTCTTCTTCTGCTAACTGTTAGTCTGCTACTCCTGAGAATTTCTCCCCCTCCAATTTCACAGCTCTAGCCAATGTTCTTAACAATCACTGTGCTTGCTTTCCTCCTCAGACCTAAAGAATGGCCTGCATTTGAAAGCTGTCTAACTTTATCACAACTATGCAGCTGGTCCAATAAAAGTCATCATCCCCCAAAAATTCTTGCCTCTTGCATAAAACCATTTTGGCATTTTAAATGCTGGGAATGAGTGGCACTAATGTCTTAGCAGCATTAGAAATTGCATGCAAAGCTTGGATGAAGTCTAGATGAAATCTCAGAATTTTCTGCTTTAGACAAACATAATTAAAATGAACTGCCTGTTTCTGTATATGCAAATATGTATGCTACAGCATTGCATCCTAATTTAACACTCCTTCACTTTTAAAGTAGATAAAAATTGCTACTTTTGTATGCACTGAAGGCAAAATATAAAACAACAAATGTTCCTCTCAAGGAATGGGATTGATCTGGTCCACTCTGACATTCATACTATTTATTAATATATTTTAACAGAACACCCAGAATTGATTTTTAGAAATACTGAGACTAAGCCCACACCAAAGAGAACAATCAATAAAGCATTTCCAAAACAATAACTAGGATTTTAGCAGATGACATCCGGAAGTTTATTTAGGAAATCACCATAGTATTTTCCATCAACCTGAAGAAGGTACCTCACTAGAAAACAACTTTATATTGTGTATGTGCATGAAGTACATGTGTATAATACATCTTGCCATGGTTTGTACCTCATAAACTTCATTCCATTTTGGATTGAGATTTTCTTTGATGACCTTGCTTTGGAAGATCTGGTTGCCAACACGAACAATTCCGTAAGGGTCTGACTTTCCCTTGACAATTCCTTTTAAATATGTATCTTTCCCTTCCAGATCCTGAGCTTCAATAAAGTGTATCCTTACAACACCCTGAGCAAAGCGAGAAAAACAGTTTACCTACTGATCTAAAAATCTAGGTTTGTTAACATTTTGAATAGCAGTTTCTTTAAACTCCTTTAAAAATTTCCATTATTATTCCATCAGAAATAAAACTTTCAGTAGTCTTTTCCAACATTTTTATAGCAATAAATAATTTTAACAACCTAAAAAAGCAAGAGAGAGAGAGAGAAAAGAAACCACGATTTTGAGGGTCAGGATAATTAAAATACTAATTGTACTTTTTGTAATGCTAGTCTGCAAGGGCTTATATATGGGACCAGGGAGAAGACATAACCAGATCTTCCCCCACACATCTTTGGGAGGAGAAAGGGGGCAGTGATTTCTCCCTTTGGCACTTAGCCATGACATGGAGAAACTTCAACTTTGGCATGAAACAAAATCCAAGCTGCAATGTAGTAAGTGTATTACTGTTACCAGCAGATGCATCAAAGGTAACGTCCAGTTTTTCCACTGAAACTATGCACAGCACATTTTATTCTTAGTTCCTTAAGAGAAAACCATGAGCAATGCAATCAGGTATAGATTTGGAGTCCAACTTACAGTTGTCAAACATTAACTCTTTATAAACTTTATAAATGGAAATTTAACATAAAGTAACTTCTGTTGCATATAAAAGCAAGAGAGATATACATAAATAGATAAATGTTTGTCTTGAAAAAAAGTGCTTACCTTTGGTATAGGGAACCGCAATTGAGCAAGTTGCACTTCACTGACCAGTGGGACTGTGATTCGATTTGGAAGCACCAGGTAGTTTGATATTATATCCAATATAATCGTATCTGATAAACCACTGTTGGAGAAAATATATCTATTATCTAACAAGACAAATAATTTTAGAAATATTCTATTAAATATTAACATACTGCAGCTACTTGAACATGAATACCTGGCATCCTCTCAACAAAAAATTCCTATAACCACTCTTAAAATACTAATGTATTGCATGTAAAAATACTATACTGAGCCTAATTAAAAACACTGTGCTTTAGGCCATTATTACAGCCTTTTTATTTATAACTCTAGCCTTAAGAAAACAATGAATTTAACATCCGTTAATATGGAATATCTTCAAGGAAAAATTCTGTGAATAGTAGAAAAAATGTTTTTAAAAAAGCACATTCAGTATTTATTTCCTACACGAGTCTGAGCCTTTTTTTGTTGCTCACCAGCTTAGCTACTAGACAGAAGAGCACATCTTTTCTGTGGAAGCTTTCAGAGTAGTTTTCCTTTCACTTATGTTCTTCCCAATATTTTTCACTTCAAATGGCCACCAGGTGGAAGCAGGAGATCCAAAACAGTGGTTAAGACCTAAAATGTGTATATATTTCATCTCTTTCCCCTAACAAGTATAAATAACCTGCACCTCTGCAAGCACCATCCAGAATAAAAGGCTACTGAATAAAGTATAATGTCTGTTATCTCCATTACTTATTGATGAGGTATATGTTTACTGTTCTGTTTTAGTTTTTAAGTGTTCTTGTCATGATTTAAGTGCTTTTGAAAGTAAGCTCAGCCATTATTCCATAGTAACAAACCAAGCTGTCATTTGCATAAATTCAGAACAATTAGCAGGATTTTCATTAAAGAAAAGAAAACTGTTTTGTGTAAAAGAATGAAGAAAATGGATGTTTAACTTGCAAAAGGGAGTGGCACTACACTGGTTAGGAATCATTAACAAAACTGTGCTAAAATATTCTGATGAGACTGTATTACGTTTGAGTAAAACTGGCATACTTTGGGGGAACCACGGTCTCACTGGCAAAAAATTGGATGGAATTCACCACTGGTGCAGCAAGTTATGAGAGTCTGCAGTAGCATTAAATGGCACAAAAGAGTAAAAATACTTGAGTCTTTTCTAAATTACATCTTCACCAGTGGTGAACTGACAATTTCAAGTTTTACCAATTTATGCGCATGAAAGATGCTATTTTAAAGTCTCAGTGTAGACGGGACTTAAGATATAAATAATAGTTTCAGTAGAACAAAGGTCTGGCGACTCACAGCATTACACACAATATTACCACTTAGTTTAATCAATTTGTAAAGTTTCCTAAAATCTAATCTGTACTCAGGAATAGTACTGATTCAGCATTTGGTGTAATTGGACCAGTGCTGGTTGCTATGAATAGATAAGGTCAAGCCAGCATTTACAATGACTGAACTAACCAAGGGACAAATCCTGGAATTCCCTTGTGTGCAGCGTACTTCATTTGTACTAACTTGTCCAAGTGTGGAATTGGGGCTATTTTCACATGCTGACAAGGCCCAAATCATATGCTTTTAATTATGTGTCCGCATTTGGATAAATAGTTTGTAACTGGCAAACAACAATCACCTCTCTGCCACTGGAACACACATATTACAGCAGTCAGTTCAGTCACTCTTATCTCCTGCTAAACCCGCCATCTTTTGTCATACACCTGGATTGTCACTAGTGCAAAGCTGGACAGTCACACCACCTCCCACACACATAACCTCAGAATTGTATTTCTCTGCTAACACATTTAAATCTAAAGACAACTGCAATGTCACAACATTTTATCTGAAGCAAAAATACAGAACTGAGATCCTAGCACTATCATTCCTAGCTTTGGCTGGATTACTTTCAATCACTTTATTAATAATTTTATTATTTTTCTTGAATTGCTAATCTAAGTATCTAAATAAGATGAACTTTAATGCTACTATTTGTAGATTTTGTCCTCATGCCTCTAATAGTTTTTCTCCATCAATGAGCAAATTAACTAAAAGATTACCCCCTCTCAGCCCCTTCCATAGGCACAGTGATCTCTACCGGAAATCTGGGCTCCAATTTGAAGCGGTAGGGGTGGTCATATAATAAAACTGATCTTTAAAGTATCTTAGGGAAATGTTTTTATCTGTGTTGTGCTGGTGGTATATCAATCTCTTCAATATTTTCATCAGTGATTTGGATGAGGGGGTGCAAAGCACCCTGTTCAAGTTTGCTGATGACACTAAGATGTGGGGGGATGTGGGCACATTAGAGGGGAGCAACAGGCTACAGTTGGACCTAGACAGGTTACAAGGATGGGCAGAGGAGAACAGGATGGGGTTTAACACAGACAAGTGTAAGGTGATGCACCTGGGGAGGAACAATCGGCACCATACATACAGGCTGGGGAACTCCCCTCTTGTCAGCACGGAGGTGGAAAAGGATCTGGGAGTCATTACTGACTCCAAGATGAACATGAGTCGGCAATGTGGGGAGGCGGCTAGGAAGGCCAACTGCACCTTGTCGTGCATCCACAGATGCATCTCGAGCAGGTCCAAGGAGGTGATCCTCCCCCTCTATGCGGCACTGGTCAGGCCGCAGCTGGAGTACTGCGTCCAGTTCTGGGCGCCGCACTTCAAGAGGGATGTGGACAGCATCGAGAGGGTCCAGAGGAGGGCCACTCGTATGATCAAGGGACAGCAGGGTAGGTCCTATGAGGAAAGGTTGCGGGACCTGAACCTGTTCAGCCTTCAAAAGAGAAGGCTGAGGGGGGATCTTGTGGCCTGTTATAAACTGGTTAGGGGGGATCAGCAGGCGCTGGGGGAGTCCCTGTTCCCCCGAGCGCCGCAAGGAGTGACCAGGAACAATGGTCACAAGCTGGCGGAGGGAAGGTTTAAGTTGGACATCAGGAGGCGCTACTTCACGGTCAGGGCGGCTAGGGTCTGGAACCAGCTTCCAAGTGAGGTGGTGCAGGCTCCCACCCTGGGGGTTTTTAAGAGGAGGTTGGATGACCACCTTACTGGGGTCATTTGACCCCAGTGCTCTTCCTGCCATGGCAGGGGGTCGGACTAGATGATCTGCTCAGGTCCCTTCCGACCCTAGAAACTATGAAACTATGAATCTCTACAAAAGGACTAAAGCCAGACATTTGTGACATTTTAGCCAATAATATGTTATCCAACTCAAGCAAAGCAGGGCAAAATAAATATATTATGGTGAGAGTGCGGCAGGGGCCTGTGATTACACAGTTAACTGTAATGGGTGGAGATTTACTGGTTAACCTCAACTATTTACCATACTGAGCTTGGGCCTGTTGGACTGTGACAAAACTGGAATTGCTACATTTTTCTTTACTCCAAGAATGTTTGCCTAGGTAAAGAGAGTGCAAGAAAGCCTTCTGTCTTCTTCCAAATTGTTCATTACTTTAGACTGCAAAATATGCCATATATTTACTAAAACAGTTTAAGGTTGTATTACAAGCCAATATGCAGTCCTTGCTATAAAAAGCCCATCATTTGCTGACAATCATTCCGTCGTATTTCCCCTATACCTCAAATAAGAAACAAACTGTATGAGGGGAAAGTATTGCTTAGGGTAATATATCTTTTATTGGACCAACCTACCAAGTTGGAATAGAGTTAGACAAGCTTTTGCATGCAAGACGTGCTTCATCAGGTCTGAGCAGTAAAAACAGTAATTATAGCATCTGTTAAAATATGACTGATTTAGCAGCACTAACCTAATTGCTGTCAGAGGGAGTCAGGAACTGCAAGTTTGTCTCAGAATTGTACTCTGTCTGAGAGTGGCCAGCAGTAGATGGTTTACAGATATTGCAGGAAAACTCATACGGGACAATTATGAAGTATCTTGCCCAGTAGTGAAGTTTCTTTCTAATGCCCATCAGCTACTGATTCATATTTACCATGAATCATAGAAAATGAGGCTCAGGAAATCATTTAGTCTAACTCTCCACTCAAGACTAGATATTAGGAACATTTTTAACTATAAAATAGTTTAGACAGGAATAATTCAACCTTGCTGCAATTTTAGCGCATTACTGCCTGTCCTTTGACACAGAACAAATACTGATTATTGTTTTTACAATACTTTCTGTATTTAAAGCCCTATCAAATTCCCATTCAGTCTTCTCTTCTTTAAATAACAATTAATGCAATTAATCTGTTAATTGGCATACTGCTGCACACTGAAGGAATTAAATGGTATGATAAAATGTGGACTATTTTTGTGGCTGTTTTCCTAAAATATGCACAATATTTTTGTGGCTGGTTTCCATCACAGCTTAAACAGCACTTGGTTGACAGCTCCTCCTTTGTTGGCATGCCTGCATGGAGCTGTACCCTGCTGTTTTCAAGGCAGACACACCATAGCTTGAATCTTCCTGGAGGGATGGTTCCAGCCTGGGGGAATGCTCTTCCTCCTTGCACGAACCAGGGGTGGCCTAGGTCTGGTTCAGTGGCTAAGGAGCATTGACACCAACAGCAGGTCCCCATATAGCACCTTTATGACCCACACTTGGGTAGGTTATCAGCACAGATCCTGTTTTCTCTGTATAACAATTACAAATTCTATTATTAAAAACCCCCAAATCCGTGTTTTTACACGATTAAAATGAAATGCCACTATATATATAGTATCAGTTGAACACAATGTTTTATTGATATATTTACAATTTTAAAGCAATTTGGAAGCATACCAGTGTCTCAATCACTATAATAAAATAAATGCTAAATACCTGTAAATTTTGGCATTTGATTTGGGGTTTTTTTTTTAATCATGGAAAAATCAGGGCTCCCCCTTCCCTCACCAGGATGTGGTTTCTCCCCCCACCCCCAGCTTGGTAATGCTGAGCAACCCTAATATGCCGGTACCCTGCCCATACCATTGCCCCCCACTCCCAAGCCATAACCCCATGACCCTGCCAGTACCCCTCACTCCAAACCCACATAATGTTCAGCTGATATATATAGTGGCATTTTATTTTAATTGTGGAAAAAAAAGGGGATTGGGGGGTGGTTTAATCAAAGAATTCAATTTTT